GATTCCTCAGCACCACATAAGCAAAAAGAAAAAAGCCGGAAGTGGTGCTGTGGCTCAAGTGGTAGAGCGCTAGACTTGAGCTAAAGAGCTGAGGGAGAGCGCCCAGGCCCAGAGTTCAGGCCCCACAACTGGACCCCCCAAAAAAAATTTCAGCAAGAAGCCAGGTGCTGGTGACTCATGCTTGTAATCCTAACTACTCAAGAGGCTGAGATCTGAGGATTGCGATTCAAAGCCAGCCCAGGCAGGAAAGGCCATGAGACGCATCTCCAATTAACCACCAGAAAACTGGAAGTGGCGCTGTGGCTCAAGTGGTAGAGCACTAGCCTTGAGCTGAAGAGCTGAGGGACAGTGCCCAGGTCCAGAGTTCAAGCCCTATGACCAACCAAAAAAAAAATTTTTTTTTCAGCGAGAATTGATTTTAGTATGACAAGAGTTGAAGAAGAAAGAAATAGAAAAAGAGAAGGAAGTACTTTCTGCCTTTTTTTTTCTTTGCAGGAAACAGAAGTTTAAGATTCTATTTTCTTTTCTTTTTTTTGATGTAGTTTTTTTTTAGTGATACTAGGAGAGTGAATTAAGGACCATGTACCTACTAGACAAGCACTCTACCATTTGAACCATGCAGTTAAGTCTCTAAAATGTAATTATTTCCTTTTAGTATTCTTTTTTTTTTTTATCAGTTCATAGGACTTGAATTCTGGGCCTGGGCACTGTCCCTGAACTCTCTTCCTCAAGGCTAGGACTCTACTACTTTAAGCCACAGCATTACTTCTGGTTTTCTGGTGTTTAGAGCTAAAGAGTCTCACAGACTTTGCTGCCTGGGTTGGCTTTGAACCACAATTTTCAGATTTCAGTCTCCTGAGTAGCTAGGATTATAGATGTGAGGCACCAGCTCCTGGCTTCTTTTAGTATCCTTATCTTTTCCTTTGTAGTTGAACTTTTGATCTATAAAATTTTAGTGGCTGGAATAGAATAAGAATCTAGTCTTATTTTTCTCCAACCCAATTTCTTGACAATTCACCTTTCTATGCTTTCTCTGGTTCTATAATTCCATGTGTACTTGAATCTAATTTGGGACTCTATTATGTTCCACATAGCATCGATTTCTGTTACCAAAATTAAGTGAATCTGTAGTGGCATTCCTCATTTATTCAAAAAATAGTATGTGATAAACCTATTCCCAGGTGCTAAGGGTAAGAATGCAAACAATATAAATAAAATACAAGTAAAGAAATAATGCTATGACTTCAGATATTAAACGTGTAAAGGTAATAGTCGCCAGTAGGGAGTGAGGGAATGGAGGGAGAAGGCATTAATAAGGTAGAGTACATAGGAAAGGCATTCCTTGAAGTCACATCTGAGTAAAGAACTGAATGATGAGAAACTAAAACTAGCTGCCTCATATAGGAAGGAAAAGAAGGAAGGACAGACTGTAAACTAGTTATATTTATATTTTCAGAAATAAGGGCAAGAAGTAGATCACCCTATTATTAAACACTAGATTTAGAAAAAAACATACCCTTCTCCTTTTGTACTAGTTGATCCAGAGACTCCTTCAGGACTGAGGACCGCATGGTACACATGTTATTGCAGTGGTCCAACATTGGATAGGGAATTACCATGCTAGAGATTCGATTGCGATGCAGGAAGCGCAGTATCATTGATGAGTGAACACCAAGACCCTCCTTTGACTCTGAAAATATGTCTATGAAACCTAAAGAGACAAAATACATATTGGCAAAGTTTTTGGAAAAGCCATCACAACAGTTTCCACATTCTCTATCTGATGGTCCATCTTAATAGGCTTGTTTGAAAGCAGTCATTAATTGTTGTTGTTATTTTGTATTTTTATCTTTAATCTGTTAAAAAAAAAACTAAATAAGCTGTTTTATTTCAGTGATAAAGATTAAGTCCTGAGCCTTCTATGTTAGGCAAGTGCTCGTCTTCAAATAAAAACTAAATAAGTTTCAAAGAAATGAGTCAGTAACAATGTCAATTCAATAATTCATTTCAATTGAACAGAACTCTGAAACATTCAGAACCATGTTTTGTCCAAACTTTAAAAACTTAAAGGACTTAAAAACTAACCAGAAGGTTTTTTTGTTGTTGCTGCTGTTGTTTTTTTCTTCGTCATCTTTTTCATTTTGGCAGAGCTGAGGGTTGAGTTCAGGGCCTTGTGAGTTAAATCCCTAACCAACTGTTTGTTTTTCTTGAGCCATAGTCTTATAAGGCAGCCCACATTAGTCTAAATAGGGTACTAGAGGTGTATTTTTCTTTAATGGAGGGGAGAGGGCAGAACAATTTGAACTTAGAGCCTCATGCTTGGTAGGTAGTCTCCCTACTACTTGAGCCACACCCCTAATTCTTTTTCACTTTATTTATTCTTCAGGTAGGAGCTTGTTTTTGGCCTAGGGATGGTGTCAGATTTCAATACTCCTACCCATGGTCTCTTGTGTAGCTAGGATAAAAGATATGTGCCACCAAATGATATGCTATTAGGGACAAACCAAAGTGTCAACAAGAAATAGGTAGGACAGGGACTAGGCCCTGACATTCCCACTTGAATCCTTCCACCATTCCAGGTCCTTCTTTCCAGGTTACTTCTCTGGAGCCTGCCTCTCTGTTTACAGTTCCTCATGGATGGCTTTTTTATTCTTATGTAAATTTTATAGTAATAGCTTTCTTAAGAAAAAAAATAAAATGCTTACATGACAAAAAGATAAAAATATGTCAAATGTGAAGACACAGCAGAAATAAGAAAGTCCCTACCTCCTGGAACCCACAGTCCAGAAGTAAAGACAACCATTTAGCACACAGTTCATTGATTAACCATACTGGTAAAATGTTGGGGGCAGGGGTGGAGGGGAAGAAAGACACTTAAGAGAACATACAATAGGGGCCAGAGATAGCTTCTGACTAGAGTAGATATATGGAGATCCATTAAGGAAGGCAACTTTCTGACAAAAAGACATAAACATGGCATCACTGCACTGCCAAGCATTCACTATAGTAAGGAACAAAAGAGATAACCACATGGAATGTTAGTTTAGATCATATGCCCAATGAAGGCTGGAAGGTGGGGGAGGTTATTACTTTATGGTGATACAAGCTAACCTAATTTCAATCCACAGTAGAACAAAGTTATTGTTAATTTAAATTTTGAATTGGCATACATTAATAATACAAGGGAGTTTTCTTTGTGATAATTCTATGGATGTGTACAGTATACTCTGAGCAAGTTCATTCCCCATCTCCACCCAATTATTGAGACTTGAATTCACTTGGCTTGCTTGCTCAAGGCTGGCACTCTACTACTTAAGCCACACCTTCAATAGGACTCTGTTGGTTAATTGGAGATAGAGACTTTTTTCCATTTAGACTGGCTTTAAATCACAAACCTCCATATATTAGCCTCCAGATAGCTAGTATTACAGGTGTGAGCTGCTGGTGCCTAGCTCTATGCTCTCCCTTCTTTCACAAAGCTTAGTACTTTCATCATGATGCTTTCACATATAAATACGTACATCTATATACATATACATATATATATATATATATATAAAATATGCTTCAATATTCTTATTTTTTTTGGTCGGTCGTGGGGCTTGAACTCTGGGCTTGGGCACTGTCCTTGCACTCTTCAGCTCAAGGTGAGAGCTCTACCGCTTGAGCCACAGTGCCACTTCCAGTTTTCTAGTGGTTTATTGGAGATAAGAATCTCAGGGACTTTCCTGCCTGGGCTGGCTTTGAACCACAATCCTCAGATCTCAGCCTCCTCAGGAGCTAGGATTACAGGCGGGAGCTACCAGTGCCCAGCTACTTCAATATTCTTCACTCCTCAGTATCCTTTCTTTTCCCCCATGCCTTTCACACCGATTCTTGCTCTCTAAGCAGTTTCCCTTTTATATTCACATTCTATTATTGTTATCATCATCATTTTAGCTCTAGACTCCAGAAATGAGTGATATACTTGGCTTTTTCAGCTTGGCTTATCTTGCTCAATATGATGTTTTTCAGTTCTACTTTCCTGCAAATGACAAAATTTTATTTCTCTTTATGGTTGAGTAATATCCTCCATGATGAAAGAGAATGAATCATATTTTTTTTATCATTCATTGTTTTGGGACACCTAGGCCAATTCTATAGCTTAGCCATTGTGAACAGAGATGCAATAATGTGGGTATGTATTTTTCTTGCATATTAATTTATATTGCTTCAGGCACATACCCAGGAATGGCATGGTGGAGTTATTATGCATGTCTACTTTTAATTTTTTGATGAACTTGCATATTGATTTCCATAGCGGTTGCAGCTTACATTTCCACCAGCAGTGAATGAGGGGTTTCTTTTCCCCACATCCTAAGGGAGCACCTTCAATGTTCAGTGTTCACATGAGAGCCTTACCTGGAACCAGAGAGCAGGCTTGTAGTTGTCTTATGACATGGCTCAGCTCCCCCTGAAGATTGGCTCCACTGGAATTTTTGAGGGCTTCCAACATGTTCTCAGCATCAACTGTCCCATCACCCTCAGCATCGAACTGGGCAAAGGCCTACATTATAAGAGATGAAAGAAAATATTTGTTTTTTCTATGTATTGTTGTGGTTACAGAGAGAGGAATCCATACATATCAAAGAACAAATTCAGTATACTGAATTAATTTATTTGCTGTGTAGGCACATATATATGTGCAAACATACATGTATATATAATTTTATCATCCCCATCTTTTGGAAGGTAAAAAGTAATTCTTATACCTTTCCAAGTAATTTCAGAAGCAAGCATCTAGTGCTAGTGACTCATTCCTATAATCCTAGCTATTTGGAGGCTGAGATCTGAGGATCATGGTTTGAAGCCAGCCCGGGCAGAAAACTCTGTGAAACTCATCTCCAGTTAACCACCAAAAAACCAAAAGTGGAATGGCTCAAGTGGCAGAATGCTAGCATTGAGCAAAAATGTTTAGGCCCTGAGTTCAAGTACCAGAACTGGCACTAAAAAGAAATCCAATGGCTACAAACTATCAAATACAAAGCAAGAATTAGAAAATATTACCTTAAACTAGGTACTGTAACAAGTACAGCACCTAGGGTTTGTTTAGACTTTATCTCTTCAACATTCATTGTACATGAGGGCTAACTTGGTTTATGGGCTTCATAGCCTTAGTTGTTTTTTTCCCCCTTCTTCTCCAACCTTAACCTGCCTAACCAGGTTCTCTGTCCATGTTAGGCCATTTGGGCAACTTATTATTTCCTGGAATTTGGTTTGAGTCTCTGTCTCCATGCAATTGTGTGAACTTACACAAGTTTGTTTCCATGTGTAAGTCTCAGCTTCTTGATTTGAAAGACGGAGCAACATGATAAAACTCACATGGTGTCAAGTGGATAAAGAACATGTGAACAGAGTTCACTAAAGAGCTATCAGCAATGACATGCTCCTCTTTCCTTTCTAATCGACAACTTGTGTCATTACCTCCCTTACCCATCCTACAAGACCTTCCTCAAGGGCTGGGATGTAGCTCAGTGGCAAAGCGCTTGCCTAGCAAGCACAACGTCCTGGGTTCGATCCCCAGTACCAAAAAAGAAAAGACAAAAAAAAATACAGTTAAAAAGACCTTCTTCAAAAAGGAACTGTACCCTTATCCTTGATCTCAGTTCCTCCCTAATCATGGCTTCTGTCCTGTTGCTAATGTATACACACTCACAGATTCCCCCACCATTAAATATTCCAGTATCTTTTACCTTCCTTTCCAAGTAGGCCTTTTTCTCTTCTGTTTCTTTCATTTTCTTGCCCTTTTCTTTATGCCTGTGTACCATGAAATATGGAAATATCCCACTTAAGTTTCATGATGAGTATTCTTATTTCCACCCCATTACAGATCTCTGAACAATGTAGTGTTTAACAGCAACAAACGCAAATCCCTGTGTTTGGGCCCAAATATTATGGGCATAAAATGCAGTATAGGAGACTGAGATTACAGAATACTCTGCAGCATTCTTTTTGCCTCTATTCAACCTGGTAAGATCAATCAAAAGTTAATAGAGGAGGGGGGACCAAGATGGCGACGGGGCAGTAGGGAAACGCCACAGCTCTCTCCAACCAAAAAGAGAGTTCGAGTTCCAACGCTTAATCTCCCCAAGAGACCGACAACAACAAAAAGACGAACACTCAGAGAAAAACCAGAGGTGAGAAATAACAAAAAAAGAAAGAGAAGAAAAGAATTTC